GAAAATTTAGAACTTTTGTACTTCGAAGCGGACCTATAATTCGCATTCAAAAGGCATCCATACTGATTTGATGAAGCCAAAACGTTACAGAAAATCGACCGTTTCGCGATAAACACACTAAAAGATACATGTAAACTTACATTTAGAATGATTTTATTTAATTTCCTAGCAAGCAACACCAAAACAAATGTCCGTTTTGATTTCTGGCGTTGTTAAAAACACAGCTGACATTGTTATTCAATTGTGACGTCAATCACCTGCAGCCCATGTTTTATTGGAATTAAAACATGGCTTTGTTTCCAAAGCCAAAGAAGAACATCATATTAGAATTGTCATTAAAGAGCAAAAACTCTATAAAGGAGTTGACTAACTAGTTTGGCCATGTTGACTTAATTGTAGATCTTGTCTTGCTGAGCATTTTTGCTATTTAATTTTTTTTTCTATATATTATAGTTTTCACGATAATAACCCTATTGGTAAAAATCTTCCTTAAAGAGCAATAACGTTAACTCCAATAAGAGTCCACTGACGATTTTAGCCATTTTCCTCATTTGTAGATTTTGTCTCACTGATCATTTTTGCTATTTAAAGTGTCTATCCTATCTATTAATTTAAGATATTAAATAAAAATGGGAATAAAATGCTTCGCTGGGCGCAGCTTGATACGACCGCAGAGGTCGAACCCTGAACAGTTGGGGCAAGTATGGACACAACATTCAAGCTTGATACAGCTCTGAATTTGGATTGTGATTAAATATTTGACACAGCATAGGTTTCTGACACAGAAACAATGTGGTCTAAGAACTTCAATTTTTTTAATTTACCTATTATGGTCCAATGTCCAAAATAAAAATACATGGTTAGATCCAGCATATCAAAGAACCCCATATATTCAATTTTTGTTGAAATCAAACAAAGTTTAATTTTGGACCCCAACTTGGACAAACTTGAAAACTGGTCCCATAATCAAAAATCTAAACACATGTTTAGATTCAGCATATCAAAGAACCCAAAGAATTCAATTTTTGTTAAAATCAAACTAAGTTTAATTTTGGACCCTTTGGACCTTAATGTAGACCAATTTAAAAAACGGGACCCAAAAGTAAAAATCTAAAAACACGGTTAGATTTGGCATATCAAAGAACCCCAATAATTCAATTTTTGATGAAATCAAACAAAGTTTAATTTTGGACCCTTTTGACCTCAATATGAACCAATTTGATAGCGGGCCCACAAATAAAAAATCTAAATACATGGTAAGATTCAGCATATCAAAGAACCCCATATATCCAATTTTTTGGACCCCAATTTGGACCAACTTGAAAACTGGGCCAAAAATCTAAAAACATGTTTAGATTCAGCATATCAAGAATTCAATTTTTGTTAAAATCAAACTAAGTTTAATTTTGGACCCTTTGGACCTTAATGTAGACCAATTTAAAAAACGGGACCCAAAAGTAAAAATCTAAATACACGGTTAGATTTGGCATATCAAAGAACTCCAATAATTCAATTTTTGATGAAATCAAACAAAGTTTAATTTTGGACCCTTTTGACCTCAATATGAACCAATTTGATAGCGGGGTCCACAAATAAAAAATCTAAATACATGGTTAGATTCAGCATATCAAAGAACCCCATATATTCAATTTTTGTTGAAATCAAACAAAGTTTAATTTTGGACCCCAATTTGGACCAACTTGAAAACTGGGCCAAAAATCAAAAATCTAAATACATGTTTAGATTCAGCATATCAAAGAACCCCATATATTCAATTTTTGTTAAAATCAAACAAAGTTTAATTTTGGACCCTTTGGACCTTAATGTAGACCAATTTGAAGACTGGATCCAAAATTAAAAATCTAAATACACGGTTAGATTCGGCATAACAAATAAATAAATGTGGTCAAAGATTTTACAAATCTAATGCGCCATACTGTGCAATTAAAGATTACTTCTTGAAATTTTTCAATATTTGAAATTTGAAAAAAAAATAATATTTGAAGAATAATTCTTTTTAATTTCTGAAATCTGAAATGAGAAAAAATTTACCCCCCACAATTTCTTTTTACCCCCCCCCCTTTTTTTTCCCCCAAACCATAATTACCCATTTAAATTTACCATAGTGCTAACTTAATCTATTTTATAATAGAATTTAAAATATAGTGTCAAATCTTTCATATGGATTTTTTTGTAAAAAAAAAAGATGCAACATTTGCAGATATTTTTACTGGTCTTCCTTTATAAATATGCATTTCTTTAAACATAATTTAAAAGCAGTGTAAGGGAAGTAACACAAACGTTGTATTTGGATTACCTCCCTTACACTGTTTTAAATTATCTTAATTGTTCATTAACCATTACTTTATACATAATTTAAAAGCAGTGTAAGGGAGATAATTTCAATGATGTATTTGATTTATCTCCCTTACACTGCTTTAAATTATGTTTTGTACTAAAGTATTTGTCCATTAACCAGGACAACCTTGTTTTTCCCCCTTTTTTGCCCCTAATTCTTAAACGGTTTGAGCCATAACCCCCCAAAGCAAATCCTAACCATCCCTTTGTGGTATGGAAACTTGTAGTATAATTTCAGAGAGATCCATACACCGTTCCACAGTTATTGTCTGGAAACTAGAAAATGCTTATTTTTGGCCCCTTTTTGGCCCCTAATTCCTTAACTGTTGGTACCATAACCCCCAAAATCAATCCCCACCTTCCTTTTGTTGTATTGAACCTTATGGTAAAATTTCATAGAGATCCGTTCACTTAAACTAAAGTTAGAGTGCTAAAACTAATGCGTCTTCGGACGACGACGACGCCAACGTCATACCAATATACGACCACAAAAAATTTTTTGCGGTCGTATAAAAATTGGTAAAATTCATCATTTTAGGGCAATAACTCCTATTATAAGTGGTCGGACAGTTTTTACCTATATAGACAGTAGGTAGATGTCAACAATCTGAACATATCTGATTATGACAGATTTTCTCTATCTATAGTGGTTTCTATAAAATAATATATAAAATTAGTATTTTACCCAATATGTTCTATTTTTAGACATGTCACCCATGTAGTTGGTAGGCAGGGTCATCAGATACAATTTTAAACTAGATACCCCAGGGATGATTGTGGCCAACTTTGATTCCAATTGACCAAGTAGTTTCAGAGGAGAAGATTTTTGTAAAAGTTAACAGACGATGACAACCAAAGACGATTGAAAACAGACGCCAAGTGATGAGAATAGCTCACAGGCCAGCTTAAAATATTCCCCTATTTCAGATTCTTTCCAATTATCAGAGTAGTTCAAGGTTCTGATGACTGGAACCTCATAGTAATTTGAAGTGAGTCTAATAAAAATAAAATGCTCCGCTGGGGCGCAGCTTGATACGACCGCAGAGGTCGAACCCCCTGAACAGTTGGGGCAAGTATGGACACAACATTCAAGCTTGATACAGCACTGAATTTGGATTGTAATTAAATATTTGACACAGCATAGGTTTCTGACACAGAATGAAAGTGGTCTAAGAACTTAAAAAATTTTAATTTACCTATTCAAACCATATCATTATTATTTGCTTTTATATATAAATCAGAAATAACCAATTTAAAATGGAAAATTTTAAAGAAAAAAAAAATCCCCCCCAAATTTTTTGAACCCCCTTTTGATTCATCACCCCCAAACTCAATCCCAGCCTTCCCTTTGTGATATGGTACCTTGCAGTACAATTTCAGAGAGATCCATACACTTGAACACAAGTTATTGTGTGGAAACTAGAAAAATGCTTGTTTTTTGGCCCCTTTTTGGCCCCAAATTCCTAAATGTTTAGGGCAATCACCCCCAAACTCAAACCCAGCTTTCCCTTTGTAATATGGAACCTTGCAGTACAATTTCATAAAGATCCATACACTTACACACAAGTTATTGTCCTGAAACTAGAAAAATGCTTGTTTTTTTGCCCTTTTATGGTCCCTGATTACTTAAATTTTGAGGGAATTACCCCAAAAATCAATCCCAGCCTTCCCTTTGTTGTATGGTACCTTGCAGTACAATTTCAGAGAGATCCATACACTTGAACACAAGTTATTGTCTGGAAACTAGAAAAATGCTTATTTTTGGCCCCTTTTTGGCCCCTTATTCCTAAACTTTTTGGGCAATTACCCCCAAACTCAATTCCAGCTTTCCCTTTGTGATATGGAACCTTGTAGTACAATTTCAGAAAGATCCATACACTTACACACAAGTTATTGTCATGAAACTAGATAAATGCTTGTTTTTTGCCCTTTTTGGCCCCTAATTCCTAAAATTTGGAGGAAATTACCCCCAAAATCAATCCCAGCATTCCCTTTGTGATATGGAACCTTGTGATACAATGTCAGAGAGATCCATACACTTACACACAAGTTATTGTCATGAAACTAGAAAAATGCTTGTTTTTTGCCCCTTTTTGGCCCCTAATACCTAAAATTTGGAGGCAATTACCCCCAAAATCAATCAAAGCATTCCCTTTGTGATATGGAACCTTGTGGTACAATGTCAGAGAGATCCATACACTAACACACAAGTTATGTCTGGAAGTTGTAAAAATGCTTATTTTTGGCCCCTTTTTGGCCCCTAATTCCTTAACTGTTGGTACCATAACCCCCAAAATCAATCCCCACCTTCCTTTTGTGGTTTTGAACCTTATGGTAAAATTTCATTGAGATCCATTCACTTAAACTAAAGTTAGAGTGCGAAAACTTATGTGTTTTCGGATGATGACGACGACGACAACGTCATACCAATATACGACCACAAAAATTTTTTTGCGGTCGTATAAAAATGTAGGATGAGACAAAAAGAAGGTGCTATGCTGGCATAAAACAAAGTGATGACTGACAGACTCACAAACAAGTCAAAAATATTATACCTTTCACAACTTTCCTTGACATCATCAGGTAAAATAATAATTCATGGACAAGTAATATATTGCAGAATTAGATAATATAATACATACATGCAATTTCTTCAATAAAACAGTGTCTGGACAAGTTGCTGTTGCTGATCCAGATCTATGAGCCACCCAGAACTGTTTCTGGGCCGAATATCTGTTCATAGGACATATCTTAAACAAGCAGTCTGAAATCATTTAACAAAGAATACACTTTTAATTAGAACTGGTTTAATAGGCATTTAATATAAAATCTTAAAGACAAATAATATATGGAGATTTTTTTTAAATAAATTCTTGGGAGACTATATGATAAGAGCCATTATTTGGTACTGAAATTGCAAAAATGTAAAATTCTTTAATCATTTATTCCTGATGAATATATAGGGGATATAACCTGGATATTTCAGTTGTGATGTCACTATGACATCATAAACATCACTACTCATATTTTCAGTTTTCCTTATATTTTGAATCACCTACAGATTTTTTCTAAGACATTATTTTGCCTAGTAATCCTCTAAATATATTTTGAAAAAAAATATTTCAAATGCACCTCTGTCTATCATGTCTATATATACTTTTTTAACTTTTCATTATTTCTATTGATTTTTTTTATGCAGTTTAATATTAAGTTTCTTCCCAAACATTTCAAATAAATAAACTGTTCACAAGGAGTCAAAGTCAATGGACCATGACTGAAAGCACAGGGTTAAATTAATTCCATTGAAATTAGAAATGCCAATGCTTTTAAAACTGAATACCAAATTCTATTGACATATACCTGGTTCTCTTCAAAGAAACCTAAAAACTTTAAGTTGAAAATATGCAAATGTTTCAAGGTCAATGAACCATGAAGAGGGAGCGGGGCCATATAATCTCTAGACTTGCAAATGCTTACACAACTGCATCCCAAATATCATTGACTTAACATTAGTGGTTCATATTAAACTGATATTATCAAAAACTTTTAACATGTAAACTATGCAAAACATTAGATTGTGACTGAGGGGGCATATGGAAGTTTAATGTGCCATTGCTAATAAATCTGCCTACCAAATATCACTGAACTTCCACTAATGGTTCCCCTTAAACTGACCATATAATAAACTAATACATGTAAACTAAGCAAACGTTTCAAAGTCAATAGACCATGACTTGTGTGGGTGGGTGCCAAAAAACCTCCATGGAAATCAGATGTCTCAATGCTAATCCAACTGCTTTCCACATATAATTGACCTATCACTAACGGTTCCCCATAAACTGACCTAATCACGAACTGATACATTGTTGACACCATTGTTGATGCTGGAAACAGCAAGAAGTCTCTTGTATTTCAAAACAAGCTCAGAACCTGTCAACTTTGATGTATTCTCTAGTTAGAAAACTTTTTAAAAAAAGGTTATTTTGAATTTCATTAATGTTGTCAAATTTTCTGTGCAAATTGGTTTTCATGTGTGTCAAATCTTAAAAATTCAACAATTTCAATGCTGTAACAAATATGACTCATTTCATTATTACAATAACTTAATTAATATGTTTTACTTGTATGAATATAGTCCCAAAAAAAAGGTTTTCTGTGTGAATTTAGAAAAAAAAAACTGCAAAAATATTGTGCAGTTTGAAAGAGTTACTTGCAAATAAATAGCAATAACCATCAAATAGCAAAAAAGAATTAAACAAGTGAAACTGCGAGCTACTGCTCACTGATGATACCCCTGCCTAAATACTTGACGGTAAGCAGGAAGTTCTTGAGTGATGAATCTGAAAACGCATCACACGGTATAGGTGACTTATATAAACCCTGAAACCAAATTTCAGAAATCCTTGTAATGTAGTTGCTGAGAAAAATGTGACGAAAATTTTCAACTTGGATGTTCCCTTATGTGTAAAATGATGTAAGTGTTCGGTAAACAGGAAGTTGTTGAGTGATGAATCTGAAAACGCATCACACGGTACAGCTGACTTGTATAAACCCTGAAACCAAATTTCAGAAATCCTTATGATGTAGTTCCTGAGAAAGATGCGATGAAAAATATTCATGGGACGGATGGATGGACTGAAGGACGGATGGATGGACAGACAGAGGTAAAACAGTATACCCCCACTTTTTTAAAGCAGGTTTTTTTAAAGCAGGGGTATAAAAACATGAAAATCAGATATTGGATACTTAATAAAGTACATACAGTCTTATGTTGAAGGCCAAACTGACTTACTACACAGACTCAATTCTAAGACAGGGTTTTTAAATGCAGCTAAAATGTTGTCATGTTCATATTTTTATGTAAAGAAAAGAGAGACAAGAATTGTAAAAAACAAGTAACAAAATGATTTGAGTGACAATCACCAAGGTTTCTTTTACACTAAAAATCACTGACTGGTAAAATATCTTAAGACTTTGTTTAATCTCTTCGTACAACTTATTCAAACTGAATACATAAAATGTGTTGAAAGAAGATAAAATGGGTGTCAGAACTGATTTTCTGCAAACACAATTCAACAAGAGTGCACAAGCTGAAATGTCTCACCTGCTTTACTGACCATTGATTTCATGTTGAAAGATAAAGGTTTTACTAAAAGCATCACAGGTCAGATAAATCCTGTCAGACAGACATATACACCTTACAATTTGTTTATACACAAAATATAGTTGACCTATTGCTTATGATAATTGAAAAACAGACCAAAGCAAAAAAAACATTGACCAATGAACCATGAAAATGAGGTCAAGGTCAAATGATACCTACCAGACAAAACATATACACCTTACAATCATTCCATACACCAAATATAGTTGACCTATTGCTTATAGTACTTGAAAAACAGACCAAAACATAAATCTTAACATTGACCAATGAACCATGAAAATGAGGTCAAGGTCAGATGAAACCTGCCAGACTGACATGTACCCATTACAGTCATTCCATACACCAAATAAAGTTGACCCATTGCTTATAGTACTTGAAAAACAGACCAAAACACAAAAACTTAACATTGATCAATGAACCATGAAATGAGGTCAAGGTCAGATGAAACCTGCCAGACTGACATGTACCCATTACAGTCATTCCATATACCAAATAAAGTTGACCCATTGCTTATAGTACTTGAAAAACAGACCAAAACACAAAACCTTAACATTGACCAATGAACCATGAAAATGAGGTCAAGGTCAGATGAAACCTGCCAGACTGACATGTACCCATTTCAGTCATTCCATACACCACATTTCGTTGACCTACTGTTTATAGTATTTGAGAAACAGACCTAAGTAATCATGTTACTTTAACCTTGATCACGGATCCATGAAATGAGGTTGAGGTCAAGTGAACCCTGCCTGACCCACACTTCGACGTTGCAAGGAACCCATATACCTTTAGTTAATTATAGCTAACCTATTACTCATAATAAGTAAGAAATTCACATGACAAAAAAACTCAATTTTTTTTTCAAGCAGTCGTTGAACCATGAAAATGAGGTCAAGGACATTGGACATATGACAGACGGAAACTTCGTAACATAAGGTATCTGCATACAAGATATGAAGCATCCAGGTCTTCTACCTTCTGAAATATAAAGCTTTATACAAATATTTTACGCTGCCGCCGCCGGATAGTAATACCTATGTCTCACATACTGCAAAGAAAAGGCGAGACAAATATAAAACAGAAATAATTATAGAACCTTCAGCTAGTAAGCTCACACATAGCCTGGGATCCTGGATCACTTTTAGCTAACTGTCAGTATTGACAAAGTATAGATTTGGCCAGTATGCCAGGTCAGCTCATATACCCTGCACCCCCCAATTTAAAGAAGGGAAAAGCTTCTTGTGACCAGAAGGTATATATTTTTTTTGTCTTTAAGCTATGCTGATCTCAAAATCAATTGTGATCCTTCTCTCATTTTGTGTGGTCACATATCCAAGTAAGGTTGCAATCTTGTCTGTATAGTATTTGATTTATCATCTGGTTTCGAAAAAAACTGTCAAATGCATGGAAGGCTAAAATTCCCCCTGCTCCCGCTAATAAATGGATATGTTTACAAATACAAATTGTAAGCCTTAAGACAATAATGTAGTATAATAATACATGATACCACTAAAAGGATAGTACAAGAAGTATCATCAGGTAATCATTATCAATGAATTCTGGAACTGTAACAGAAATAAGGTTAATACACTTATGTACTGACCAATATATCTATTCTCTATTTTACACTACTACAAATACAATGTATATTAACTACAGACAGATACAATTTCTTATCAATTTCAATCACACTTCCACAGAACAGCAAATTCAATTTTCATGGTGACAAGAGATATACCTGTTGGTCATCTATTGGGAAAAGAAAATTTAATCATAGCTGCTTATTTCTGTTTAACTAAATTGTAAGAAACTAATTAACTAAAGGTATATAGAACATGTAAATAAATCCATTTTTTTTCCATAAAACAGATGTACTGTTAGTGGCAGAATTTTGATTGTTTTTATTAAATTTATTCTCAACTTGAAATGTCCTGTTTATTTTTAAAAGCTGTATCTTGCCCTTTTGCTTTTCTTTTATTTGTGTTGCTTGGATGCTGTCACATTGATGTATACCCAACATTTCATTTTATTTTATTTAGTTTTAGATATCAATTCACATCTTTGCTAAATTTACCTCTAAATTTCTTTGGGGGATTATTCAGATCCCCAGCCTCTGGCTGTACAACACATCTGTCATCTACCAAGCTGAAGCATAAATATATATATACATTAAATTATAGCTCATTGCTTGCAGTTTTTCATCTCCCTTCTGAAGACTTTTTTTATTTATTTATTAATTTTTTTTGGGGGGGGGGGGGGGGCATATAAGTTAAAACAATTTAATAACTAAATTGTAAAACAAACAAGCTTGTCATAACCTTTGAAGTACTTGGGTTTCCCAACATTTAATTACTTCAGAAAACATTTTATTAGGGAAGTACATGTAACAACAAAACATGGGTTTCCAAAACATTTTGCGACTTCAGGAAATGCTGTTAGGCAAGTATATATTCTGGTCCTGCTCCTTTATACCTCTCTTATCTTACAACTCATGATTAATTGTTCCAGACATTTCAATAGATATAAGAAGATGTGGTATGATTGCCAATGAGACAACTCTCCATCCAAGTCATAATTTGTAAAAGTAAACCATTATACATGTAGGTCAAAATACTGCCTTCAACACGAAGCCTTGGCTCACACCGAAGGGCCCCAAAAATGACTAGTGTAAAACCATTCAAAGACTATCTTTCATTAATGTTCCATTTTCTAGTTCCTCTTCAAATATATCAGCAAGTTCAGTTATAAGCAACATATTTCAAAATTCTCCATAACTTGCTGAATTAGAAATCAAACTCTTTGGTCCATTGGGGAACACTAGACACTTAACAAATGTCAGAAAAAAGTCTAACAAGCACATGAAACTACAGTACAGTACTGATAATTTTAAATGCTGTTTTGCAACAGATCCGAGCCTTACAGAACTGTCATATTATTACTTGCTAACAAAATGATGGAAAGGTTATTATAGTAATAAAGAATGGTAAGTTAATTATCAGAGATCAATACATATGAAGACAGATTCAGTATAATTACAGACATTCCAGATTCTTCTGATACTTGTCATCTTTAATAAAAGTTCTAAACTTAGCTGTTTTCCTACTTTTATTCAGAAATATACAAACAACACTTAGTATTGTGTCCACAATAGGTCTAGGGTCATGATCATATTACAGCAAATAAATATTTCACTCTCATTAAATAGATAAGTATATTTCAGGATGATTTTGATTTTATTTCTACAGATATCATGTTGTAAGTGTAAATATGCAGTATTGTATTTATTGTTAATTAGTTTTACTCCTGAACATGCATGAAATATTTGCCACTGTGCATTTGGCAACCAACAATCAATCAATCAACAAGTTAACCACTGATGAGGTTTAAGACTTCAGATCTACAAAAAGATCAACATGACATACTGTTAACCACTGATGAGGTTTTAGACTTCAGACAGTATATGAATATGTTCCTGGGTTAAAATAGTTTGGTTTTTTCATCTAATACTTCCCCCTTTTTAATCTATATCAGTGGACTAACAGACCACCAAAATAATTCACCTTATTCATACAAAATTTTCTGTCAAGTTACCAAACACATCTCTTGATGTGCCCGACAGTTGTCTTAATGTTTGTATTGTTTCTGTATTCTATCATGAGATTGTCTTGCAATTGAGAACAGTGTTTGTTTGATTTCTTTGCTAGATATAATTCATCATTTATTGATACTACCCACAACTGTGTTCTTTAATGCACGGGATGTAAAGAATTGCTCTCAAGCGAGTGTTAGGAAGTGTCATTAACTAGCAGTGAGAGTTTTTGAAGATATCACTGTGACTTTGACATGAAGAACAGCTATAAAAGTGTTCTTCCTTTACTTCTGGTTTGTTTTTTGTGTGGGTAGTGATATTGTCTCATGAATCGACACATTATAGCCTTTATTTTCCCAGTATCAAAACATACACAGAAAAAACATACAATAGAAATAGTACAAGGAAAAGCACTGAACTCTACAAAAGACAGTATAATAATAAACAAACATACAATTTTTTCTAAACTTTTATATCTTATCTTTGTATATGACTTTTATTGTCTATCTGCCATACGATAATACCTCTCCAAATTATCAGCTATTCAGTACTTATTATGTTGACAATGTCGATCCAAAATATTGATTCCATTTAATTTTGTCAATAGAAAATATTTGCATCATATTAATATATCAATAATGTATGAAAGCTGAACTCTTTCATAATTCAGTAATAAATTGGAGGAAGCAGATAATGTATAATAAACTGTTATCACCGAGATAAGTCTCGCCTTTATGTAATTTTGATAGCAGACTGCAAATTTTGAAATTAAAATGGCAATATTTAAACACGTAAAACTATGCAAATCATTCAAAGTTAATGGATAATGATTGAAAGTGAAGGGCCAAATACTTCCATGGAAATGAAAAATTCGTAAGGGTTCTGCAGAACCCAGTGTCTCGCCTACTTTTGCTGTTAATCGCAGGCTCAACAAAAATGAGGAAAAAAATTAATAAAAATATTCCTCTCTATACTATCTTTTGATTGTAAGTAGCTTCTGTCCAAGTTCGGTAAAAATCCAGGATAGTTTATGAATATAATAAATGTTTTAAAAACTTAAACTGCAGACTGTATGTAATGTTAACTGGAGGAAAAACTAAGTCCATTTATAAGTAAAATAAGGAAAAAATGGAACAAAATTTTAACAAAATTTTCTTCTAGATACTAGCATGACTAGCTTTTAATCATAAACAAGCTTCTGTCCTAGTTTGGTACAAATCCAAGATAGTTTAAGAAGTTGTTAAAATTTTAAAAACTTTAACCACAGAGTGAATGTAATGTTAACTGGCAGAAAAACTAAGTCCATTTATAAGTAAAATCTGAAAAATTGATTTTTTTTTTACAAAATTTACTTCTGGATATTATCTTATGATCATAAGCAAGCTTTTTTCCAAGTTTGGTAGAAATCCAGGATAGTTTAAGAAAGTTATTAAAATTTCAAAAACTTTAACCACAGAGTGAATATTTGTGGACGCCGCCACCGACAACGATGACGGAATGTAGGATCGCTCTGTCTCGCTTTTTCTACAAAAGTTGAAGGCTCGACAAAAATGCCAATGATTACAAAACTGCATAGCAAATACCATCGACTTATCATAAGTGGTTCCATATAAACTAACCTAGACATAATCTATGAAAAAGTTTCAGTCATGTTGAGGGAGCAGGGCCATATTATCTACACATCTAGGACTCAACATTATTGGTTATTCTAAAACTACCCTAATCACAAACATTAACTTGTAAACTAAGCAAAGCATTTTAAGTCAACATACCATGACTGAAGGGCATGGCAAAATAAACTCCATGGAAATGAGATGTGCAAATGCTATTACATCTGCATAATAAATATAATTGACCTACCACCAGGGGTTCCCAAAATATGACCTAATCACAAACTAAAACATTGTTTAAGCAATAAATAGCATGCCTAATTTTCACTTTTTTTACTTCATCAAGGAGAGACAAAAATTATACAAATTAGTCTGTCTGGTCTTAGGCCAAAACACTCAAGTGAAACAGCACTGAATGGCTTTATTGATCAATGGCTTAAACACTTTGATGAAGGGAAATTGACTTTTGTAATATTCATTGGTCTAGACAAAGCATTCAACACTCACAGTAAATCACATTGTTTTACTTTATAAATTGAAATCATTTGGTTCAAAACTTATCTTTGTAATAGAAAACAATTTGTTGGATGGAATGGTATTTTATCTGAGCCAATAGATACTGTGGATTCATTTATTTTCGTGGGTACCAATTTTCGTGGATTGATAAAAACCTGCATTTTCGTGGATATTTAATTTCGTGGTTTTGCCAAAATCTGCATACAATCCTAAAGAAAATTTGCAGTTCGTTGAACATTTGAATTCGTGGTTCACCTGTACCCACGAAATCCACGAAAATTGGTATCCAACGAATAATAATGAATCCACAGTATTACAATTGGTGTTACTCAGGATTCAATACTCAGACCTCTGTTTCTCATTTTATTTGTAAATGAATGTCCTAAATGATTAATACACTCTGATGTTACTGTTTAATACACTCTGATGTTACTGTTTAATACACTCTGATGTTACTGTTAAGGCAGATGACACATCACAAGATGTTTCTGATAAATCTATTGATGTCATTGAAAGTAAATTGAAAGAAAATCTACTTAACTCCCTGCAATAGATGAAATGTAATAAACTAACTATGAATCTGTAGAACACTCAATGTATGTTCATTGGCACAAAACAAAAACTGTTGAAATGGTGAATTTTGGTATTGAAATAGGTGATATTGTACTTTTAATTGTTAGTGAAGCTAAACTTTTGAGCGTGTATATTGATTGTTCGTTGACATGGGCATACAAATTTGATTTCAAAGAAAATTGGTGTATTGAAAAAAACATTAAATAGTTTTATGCCAAATTGATGAAGAAAAAATCATATGATGGTGCACTTCTTTTCTTGCTACAGCCATTTGAAAGTACCCCATTTTTAATGATTTTCCCATTTTTCATCAATTTTTACCCAGTTTTGGGCTAATATGAAAAAAATCACACTTTCATAATCAAACTTTTTTTCATGCTCTCACTAAAAATGAAGTGGACCAATCTGAATAAATTTAACTTAAAAAAACTATAGGTTTGTGTTTATATTATATGTTATAAATGATTGAACAAATACATATTTAAGAATTTTGAATAAGAATTTTGAAATGAAAAAAATTAATATGGGATGTACATATTTTTGGTTAAATCATTTCTTTGTACTCTCATCCATTTTCTCAACATTTTGGGTGATGACAATGACCAGATTGGTTATAAAATTTGAAAATTCAAATTTTATTACTCAAAAACAACTTATTGTAAGTACACAATTTTTCCACAGAGTTAAGTTTGATTATATAAACATTTTTTAAATTTATTAATATTTTCCACTTGTATCACATGTTTTGGAAATAATTCCCTAACAAGATTTCAACGAGACTGAAACATCCTTAACTCACTTATAATTAATACCCTTTTCAAAATTTCAGGTATAGTTTCTACCATCCCTTATACATT